TACGCGGCAACTTTAACTATTACATTCATAGACAATAACACTAGTAAATGCTTTAGATACTGACATTGAAACAAATATACTGCTCATAATAATTGCACATCTGTAGACTTTAATCTAGGTATCCCGCGTTATATAAACCATCGCAAACCATCGAACAGCTCATCGCACTTCGGCGCAGACCAGCGCACTTCACGCGTGGCCATCAAACTTTATGATCTCCATTGCACCTCCGAGTCATACACACATATATATTCCGATTTTCAAATAATGGTTTTTATTATTTTAATTCCCGTAGGTATTGCCCAAAGAAATAGGGTTTATTTAAGGGTTCACACATCTTCATAGCTAAAATATTTTGATACTTATATCACGAACAGATATCTATGACAATTATTTCTTAAATTGTCAGTATATAAATTTAGATTTTTTTTTAAGAAACGTAGGTTTCAGCTACAGCAGACTAAATTGGCTTTTGATGGATTGAAGGCTTATGTAAAAATAAGAAAATGTGGTATAATTGCTAGTGAGTCAACTATTCAAGAAAGTTCAAATCAAGAGGAATGCTAGCAGTTATATCTATACGACCTTCAATAATGAAAAAATACGGGAACTGTAAAGTCGGTTATTAAAGGCCCCGCCCGACATGAAAAAAATATGAAACAATTCAATTGAGCAAACTAACGGCCTTCTTTATTTCAAAGCTAAATGTATCTTGCCACTAAAAAAAGCCCAAATACATGTATATAACAGAATTGATGTTACGAAAACCACTGAACTACTTGCTTTTGACTTTGGACAGACACATAAATACACAGAATGTTGTGAATGTGTATAGGCCCTTTATTGATCATATAGCTCTACACTCCTATCTATTTTATACATTCTTTGGCTTTCAAATATTTAGCATTGAGCGTTCCTAGTGAAAGTAAATCCAGAAAAGCGTTATAGATGCATGAAATTTATAAAGTGTTGTTTTGTGAGGGGATCAGAACGTAGGGATCGATGTTAATGTCTGTTTTATATGTATTCTGCCAATAATATCGGCCTTCTAACTTTAGTGAAACTCTGCAGTTGTTCAGTGACGGATCCAGGGGGAGGGTTCAGGGGAACCCCCTTTTTAAAATGGCTGGATCCGCCCCTGTTGTTTCATGTATTTGATATGCAAATTATCACAAAACTAAAAGGATAAAATGGATGAATTAATAGTTGATCGTTTAACGTCCAGTGGCATATATTATCGATTCATTATTAGGGGAGTACAATAATTATGATATAATGATGAACATTGGCAATCATACCACAACTTCTTTTTTATAAGAACGTACATGTGTAGATTTTCGTCTTTTACTGTAAACGACAGTGTCCCCGGGAGTCAAAGCCGAAATCAAACTTGTGTAAATTTCTGAAACATACATTTCATTATTTAACCCAATGTAAAGCAAAACAAATAATACCGTTTTGAGCTATAAAACCAAGGCAACCCTTTATACTAGTCAAAAGTTGCTGGATCGTGATAGATGCATACGAAACTTCAATTAATTGTTTGTATTTTTCAATCTTTTATATCCGATAAAGATGAACACAAAATCTATCGGATAAAAACTACCGATTTTTCTATAAGATAAAATTTATCCTTATTGGAGTCAAATTTGTCATATGGATTCATAAAGGACAAAAAAATGTCCTCAGTAACGGAACAAAAAATACCCCCATGGTAAAATAATCCGTCATTCTTTAATACAAAGTACTATTGTGAATTATTTTTTCGGATATTAATCTTTTAGACATACATTAAAAACGGTGTCCTTGATATGCAACCATGAACACAATGAAAGTGAATCTGTGAAAGTGTTCCATGTATATTCCATTTAAATAAAGACTTGTTATGATAATACAATATATTTAACTATTTTATCAAAAAATTTAAATAAAAAAGAATATCTTAAACTCGTAAACACAATTTCAAGTTTAAAAAGTTCCTCAATTTAAAATCCTTCTTAAGGAATACAGGATATATTTGCGTGATCTTATACTTGTTTAATTAAAAAAATGCCTTCAAATACATATGTTTATTTGTATTCAATTTTCCACAAAACATATTTAGCTTATTTTAAATGAAAATAAAGAACAGAGAATAAAAACACTCTTGAAGAGAAAATACATATTCGTGTTAAATTCGCATCAGTTTAATTTGTTAATTCAAGTTTGACATCTAAAATCTTAATCCGCAATCCACATTTACCCGACAATCTTGTATATTGTATTTTCTCAATGGAATAACCTTACGTGCACGTGACCATCAGAAACGAAGACAAAAATTATATTTGTAATGATGATTGAATATTTAGTAGAATATGAATTTGCCAAATAAGCGAAGAATTATAATCTTGCATTGTTCAACATTGGAGAAATGACTCAAGTTGAACATTAATCATGTTAATACTGATTCAATATTTTATTATAGTCTCACCACATACAAACATAAAATGAGGATCACAGAAATAAACATAAAACATTAAAACATTTGCATTGTATGTACCAATCTTAAAAAGAATAATGAGAGACTTTTAAGACACAATATATTTACTCATTTACATTTAAAATTTAGTGTCCACCTGTACTATATGAAAATAAAACATTTTTTCTTTGAGAACTAGGAAATAAAATGCCGTTTCTATTCAATGAAATATTGTTGATGTTTTTGGCAACTATAGCAGCAACATTGCCGTTATTAAATAAAAATATAAATTTTTCGCTATCTGATAATTAAAGGTTAAAATGTTCATTAAAATGTTTAGCTTAATGTATAAATCTACATATAATGGGCATTTTAAAATGACATGAAGTTCATCTTCAATAGTAGAGCTACAACACATGTCATCTCGTGGACTTCTTTTCTTTCATACTTTCTAGTTTCTATATTTAGTGGAGCTACCCCACATCTAAATTTTGCAAAAGCACTGTTGTTTTTAATTGGCGGAATATTTTTTAACAAATAACAGTTGGCCAACAGTATATTTGTAAGCCCATTTCGCTCAGTTGAATAGAAATTCCAATTTTAACTGTTCTGTCGTAGAAATGTCACCATGTTATTGTTTGTACGTAGAACATGTATCATTATATTAAAATGTGTCAGTCCCAGCCAAGATTCACTGAATAACCACGAAATGTTTACAGATGATAAATAAATTTTACACAAAAGTTCATGAATCTGTATGAACGTTATGTACGATGAAGTTAATTAAGTGTTCAGAAGAAAGTAAGTATGAATGTAAATTTTATTTAAAGTCGGAACATATATATACACTTTAACCGTGAGATAAAATATAAGCTTTGATGAGCTCTATAACCGACTATCATATAAAAACCGCAATGAATGAACGTTACCCGATTAGAGATGAACGTTTGACAAATGCACGTTATCTGATGTACATAGTTATACACGATTGACGAACGCACGATACACGGTTAAGAATGAATGATTGATGAACGCACGATACACGCACGATACACGCACCATACACGATTAAGAATACACGATGCACGCACGTTACACGGAAAATACACGGAACGATGAATGATGAGCGCACGATTGGTACACGCACGATACACGCACGATACACGCACGCAACACGCACGATACACGATGAACGCACGGAATAATGGTCAGTTTGAATTTTAGAAGGTCTGTATCAATAGCAAGCATGATCAGAATTCTGAAAATATTTTGTTTTCCCTGCTGGTCCTTGAAATAAATCTGCTGGTCCTCACTATTATTTCTATACCAAAATCCAAAAATTGTGTTTGTCCTTTGTGAAATATAGAAGTCAAAACCTTCAGACCACTACCAGTCAAGGGTATAACTGAATAAGTTATTAGAGAAAATAACATACATGTTGTTATTACAGTAATTTCATGAGTTGTCTACTCGTTGTTTCTAAAATCTTCTTCATCTGTAGTAACATACGTTTGTTATTTGTTCAATAATCATCAATATTTTTATTTTTTGTGGGCACTAGGGAATTCTTGAAACTTTGCGCAGTAACTTAATACATAGCCTTGATTTTCAAATTAAATTAATACATTTTTAATCAAGCATGGTAAATCAATGAGACATTATGTCTTAGGATTTTAAGGGATTAACCTTAGCTGTAATATAACAAGTAACAAGGCTTAGTTATTACAGGCATGTAACTTATTACATGTTTTATATGAGACAGTTTGGTAATTACTTGGAAGCTTGCTCAGAGCCTCATTACATGCTCTGATCATTATTTCTTACAGTAAATCAAAATATATTGTGATTAAGCATGATATATGTCTGAGCAAAGGCTTTGAAGATATGTAGAGAAGCTGTAAATTTAACACCCTTTAGTTATTACATGCATATTTTTTCTGTAATAACATAGGTGTACTACGCATGATTGGTAAACTATGAACTGATATATCTTTCTAAAGTTTAGTATACATAAAGACAATAATAATATCAATAGAACTTGTAAACATTTTAACAAAACAAATGATGTATATTGCCACTTTGAAACATGTAACATACATATATTATCACAGTTTTGTGATATTTTAGCCCACAATAACGACATGACTTTTGTATGTTATTTTTTCTAATAACTTATTTAAGTTATACCCTTGACTAACCACTTTCGAGAACTCTGCATGATCAGTAAGGTCTTGGAAGAGTGGTTAGTCATCTTAGTGTTATGGGGTTTTCTGCAGCAAAAATATGCAGAACTTGGATTTTGTTTTTTACGAATGAATTTTAAGCAACATCTACACAACAGTAGGGCCCTTAAAGAGACATAAAAAAACAGCATTTCAAACATAAACAGTAGCACTTAACATGTTTAAAGAAAGACTGTAATTGTGCTACCTTAAAACACTTAAAACATACCAAAGCAATTGTTTAAATTTCTGATAGATAAAGGAAAACGAAAATAAATATTTTTTTCCATTAATACATGTGTATGTTTTATTTTTCACAGAGTCTATAAGGCCAACAACCACTTATAGTTTAGAAACAATGAATGTTTTGACAGAGGTTTCCAAATCTGTTGGATATATAACTGGAAAGAAGGAATCTGGAACATGCTGGAGGGTTGGCAATGATAAGATAATTACTGCTGCACATGTTGTTAAAAATAATATATGTAAGGCCACCCTTTAAAAATTCTTTGTTTGATGTTACCTACCCATGCCTTGTAGGGTTGGGTTGGTAGGTAGGGTTTTTTTGTTGATAAATTTCATGTTTTAGACAAGAAAATGATGTTAGAGCAGGAAAAAATCTTTTTAAAACAAATTTGAACCTATTTGTGTCATCAAATTTTTCTGTCAGGCTGCTTTTTAGGTGGCTAGGTAGGCAACATCAGACAATCTAATTTGTTTTTGGCCTAAGTGCATTTGTATGTAGAAATATTTGTATGTACTGATGACACTTTGATTTCTTGTTGTTTATCTTAGTTGTCTGATAGTAGTGCTCATGCTTGGAGTGCAAGAGGCAGAAGATAAAATCTCTGCCAAGGTCAAACCAAAGTCTTTTTCATTGTTTAACTATATATGGCTACTTTCTTCTGATTTTAACTGATATCCAGTTGAATTAAGCAAAAGAAATGGAACTCTTTATTAGAGAAGGTAAAAATGGCCAAGTTGGTATATTTGAACTGTTTACATATGTTTCTATAGGCTTTAAAAGTTGAATGTAGTTGTATAGTTTAGGATTTTTTGCATATTATATACATGTTTATACTTAGATTATAGTATCATGAGTATTGAGCTGTAAGATATTTGTAAACTTTTTAATTTTCACAAATCAGTCGATTATGGAAGGTGCAAATACATGTGGATATTTTTTATGCATAAGCATAAATTCCACCAAAAAAATTCCACAGAAAGATTTGAGATTGATCTCTTTCAAGCATTTATTTGCATCTTTGCAACCAGTAACAATTTTTTTTGGACAAAATCCTAAAAAAAAAAGGGCAAAAATCTCATTGATAAAAGAGAAAGTGGATACACCTTTTTATGTTCAGGTATGTTTGAGCTGACTGTTTTGCCTTGAAAACCTACATAACATAAATATTTAATTCATCATCTCGCTTCATTTTCCATTATTTAAATGTATCTAGGCTACATTTTGATAAGGGAGGTGCTTTTCCGTTCTATAACTCATAAACCCTTCTACCGATGGTTTTCAAATTATAATATGTTTTTACTGTTGACAAAATGGATGTCAACTCTATTTTGAAGATTTTCACCTTCGCCATAGAGAAGTTATGGTTCATGATACAGCAGAAAATGCAACTCAATGTTGATTCCATGCAATTTCAATTTACTTGTGAACATTTTAACTAATGGTCGTAGAATTTTGATATGCTGTTACTGATGACAAAATGGAGGTCAAGATCAATATTTACTATTTTCTTTTTTGCAGTTCGTGAGTTGTGGTCCTTAATAGATTGAAAATTGGCATTTTGTGTTGTTTCCGTGCAAATGCTTATGAACCATTCAGCCAATGTTATTGAAATTTTCATTTGCAGTTACTGATGACAAAATGGTGGTCAAGTTTGATATTAACATGATTAAATTTTTCTCATTTTCCCCCTTCAGGAGTTAAAAGTCGTTGATAGATTTTGATATAGAAATAGAATGTGGAAAGTCAAAATAGTCTAAAAGTATCTTTCAAAATGCAGAAAACCTGGTTTGCTCATTCCATGTTAAATTGGAAAATGTGCTCCTCTGCTAAGCACACATCATGAAGAGTTAGACCAATGACTGGCTTATATAATTAGATATTTTAAGCACTTTTGTGCACAAGATATTGCCATGCCATGTTAGATTAAACCATATATGTTATGAATCTCATTTGTCAGTGTAGTATATTATACATTAGAAAGGTATTTTCATATGAAATGGATCTATGTTATTGTTCTGACTGTTTTCTGCAGGATATTATGCATTCGTTCAATTTATATACATTTTTTCAGGGAATACAGTTCTAGATATACCTTTTGAAGAAGACTTGAAAACATTTAAGGTAGACTTTGGTTTCATTAGCGAAAAGTCATCCAGTTTTTTCAAAGTTGAGCCGAAAGTTTTGTTTATGGATGAAAGTTTGGATGTTGCAGTTCTCCAGCTGAAACCTAATGACCAGAAGCAGTTTCCTCCTCCATTAGAGACATTTGATAAACTTAATCCTGAAAAAGATGAGCATAAGCATGTTTTTTTAATCAGTCATAACAAAGGTGAAAAAAAAGAAGTCAACTTTGGAATCGGTATTTGGAATCCAACAGAGAAAAGATTAGAAGATCTAGAAAAGTTCTGTAGAAAGTATGGAAAAGAGAATGGATACAAAGATGTAGATAGAAAAGATCGCTTGGTTATTCAGTGTGAATTTGTTGGTGGTGCTTCTGGGAGTCCTGGCATTGTTATTTATAATAATGTCGCCCATGTTGTATTTGTGTATATAAGGGGATTTCCTTCTTTTTATTATAGTCAACGGTTTCCCGATGAAGAAAGAAGAAAATTTCCTAGTGATAAGTTACTTCAGCAAGGAGTCAATATTGGCGATCTGTTTAACACCATGTCCAAAAATGAAGTGAACTTAAAACTACGTAATGAGATATTCCCTGTGGAAGCAAAAAAGCAACACCAGCATAAGCAGTCTTCTCAAAATATTGAACATGGCGGAAGTGACAAATTCACAGTACAAGGTAAATAATCTTTTCCAACAGACTGTTTATTTTGTTATGATCTTCATGCAGGTTGTTTGTCTCATTGGTTGAACTTCAGTTATGATATGTCATTTTTCCTGGACATATCTCTAAATCTTTCAAATACATTAAGTAAATTATGAGTATATTTTTACATGGAAGAATATCTGTGATTATGCAATAAAATTCACTAGGAATTAATTTGAACAGTGATAATTTTGTACATCCAAATAAAGAAGTAGATTTGATAAGGTGCTTAAATGTTCCCATTTTAGCTACAATTTCAAGTTAGGATTTATTTACCAATATCACAATGAATCATATAAATACAATGACTAGATAGAAAATATGTCTATGGCTGCATGCCTTTAATAACCAGTTAATATCAATTTGAGAGTCTTTCTGATTTTTCATATTTGCTTTTAAAGAATGTTTGTAGTTATACAGTCATATCAAAATTATATATATGTACAAATGTTTTTTTGCAGATTTGTGTGCAGGAATGGAAAACACACGTTTAGAAAGCAATATCAATGAGGATACAGTTCCAATGTCATCTTTAAGCATAGAAAGTAAATATTACATAGTTATAATTGATGTAATTATTTACTGTACATGTATGGTAAGTTGTGTCACATATTGCAATTTGCTATTTCGGATTCTAAAGGACTATGTGTAATTTTATTACATTGTTTGAACCCCAAAATGAAAACAATATCACACCATTGGTTGATTTCTTTTTTTTGTCTATTTTAATTGATACAATTAATTAAAACAGACAATACCAGACTATATTTAAATGTCAGAAACTGGGAATTTTATGAATACGATGCATTTACTAGGAAGTAGCAGTGTCAATTTTGTTCATATTCATTTTATAATAAACATGATAAAAACATAACAAAAACTAATGTGTTCATTAAAGAATGAACAAGATTATAGAATATAAAGGTTTTTACTCTAAACCTCCATAATCTAATTTTTCTTGAATTCAGCTCTACCATTACCTGCAAAAAGGACAATACCCAAAAGACCCTCTTCAAATACTTCTAAAGAGACCAATCTAAAGGCGGCAGCACCCACAGCCAGTGGACAACATTCTTTTGAACCAAAAAGATCTACTTCTGAACAGACCTGTCCAAAGACAACAACTGCAGCCAGTGGGGAAAATTCTTTTGAATCAAGTTTGACATCTTCATCAAATAGATCTATAAATAATTCAGAATCAGTGTCATTGCTTGATTCATCCATGGACAGTTTTTCTAACATCCCAGCGTCTGGTGCAAGAGGTGGCTGTATGATGACACAAACAGTCATGCACAGAGACAATCAGTCATCCAAGTTACAGCAGAAATATGTTTCACAAGTCCAGACTGGCCCAAATACACAAACAATTTGTAAGTCTTTTACAGCTAGTAAGAGGAAAAATTTATTATTTATGTACTTCTACAGGTAATAATTTTTGAAGTAGAGTTTTCTCCCTTTGTATTCAGATTTTTTTTAAACGTAGGTAAGTAAAACAGTCATCTTCTCTTGACTACATTTCTCTTTTGAAGAGTTTATTTGTCTGTCTTAAATAGTAGTCTTAACTTTACTCATGAAAGTATAACTGAATGGACAATGAAAATATCAAATAGCATAGAGTATTCAAACAAACACACTACATAGTATTTTACTTTCCAAGGCTGTTCTTAAGAATTATTAGGTTTGTTCAAGTTTTATCTAACACTTGATTCAATAAACAAACACAGCAACAACAATAGCTTAAATTACAATGATCATTCATACTTAATGAGGTGAAATGTTACTAAATTAGAAAAAATACAGTTTTTAAAAACTTCACAAAACTAAAATACAATGTATCTTCTCAAATAAAATGCAGTTTGGAAACTTTGGATCAGTGTCCACTTAGTAGTATACAATGTATTATCAGATCAACAGGATATGCAGAACTGGTTTTACATGAAATTTCCAGACATCAACCTTTGTTTTTAATATTTCACTTGTTATTCCAAGGTAAAATTCAAAAAGGGAAAGTCTATAAAAAGTGACAAAATCAAATGTTATCAACCAACGGAACAAGTGAAAATCAACTTACATATTCCTGACTTGGTACAGGCATATGTCAATACATCTAGAGATACAATTTGAGAAATAGTTTTTTTTTAAATGTGGAATTAGTTTCATATGAATTTGAACATGATGAAAGCTTTCATGGCATTCAAACAGATTGGATGGGTTCATAATTTAAGCTTTAAAAATACACTCATGACAGTATAGATCACTTTCAAGTTCGTTGCATTTCCATCAAAAACTTTGGTTTTAGTGAACATCATTCGTGCGTTTAGGGGCATAGTCACTTCCGTTACCATGTTGAGTGAGTGGTTGAAAAAAATATGATGCTCAAATTATTCGGCAAATTAGATTCTTATAATTGATAATCATCACTGTTGTCATTCGGATTAAGTGATTAAGTACAAACGGAACAAACATTATTTCTAGTTTATCCTGGATAATGACGATCACAAAGACGCTTGATGGTCTTTAGAAGTACAGGGATACAGGCGAACCCCTCGATCTGGTAAATGACGTCATAAAGGCGCGCATAATTGACGAACTTTTCCGGTAAAGAACGTAACTCGAAAGTGGTCTATTGGATAAATAATTTTAACATTAATTATAATTCAGCATGTATATTTAATTAGTATGAAAAATTGATATTAATTAATAAAATTTTCTATGAGGTTGATTTTTTTTTCAGCTACAGGTAACATTAATATAGAAACTACAGCACCTGTCAATCTTCATCAACAAACGGAAATTGATCAAAGATTAAAACCTGCACTAGGTAGGTCTGAGTTCAGAGAAAGAAGTAGCCTTAATAGCCAACACCACAGAAGTTGTGTTGCAGTTAAGGTCAATATGAACTTAAACTATATTTGTTGATATTCAGGTTTCCAACCTATTGAAACTGTTAAATATTTTGCATATAGCTTTTTGTGAGGTGATCGCAGCAAAGGAGTTGGAAAGTTTTCATATTTTGCAAGCAGCCTATATTTTACAGTAGATGTATCAATAAAGCTTTTTTCATTTCTTTTTTTATCAATAGCAAACCAGAATGGACTGGATAAGTTCGGGTCAAAATTATCAATGTCTGTTTAAACGAAATAGTCATATTTATGATAAATCACTAATTCTCAGCGGTTAGAGCACTGGCCACAAATCATATTTCCATGGAGATTACTTGGCCAAGCCCCCTCAATCATTGTCCATGGATTTTGAGACATTTGCATAGTTTACGTGTCATATTTAGTGATTAGATCAGTTTAAGGGAACCACTTTTGATAAGTAAATTATATTTGGTATGCAGTTGTATTAGAATTGATTTATTGACTTTAAAACTTCTGTATAGTTTGCATGTCAAAGTTTTCGATTTTGATAGTTCAAGAAGAACCATTCTTGGATAAATGAATGATATTTGATGCACAGTTATATTAGCATAATCATATCTCATTTCCATGGAGATGACTGGCTGAAAAGGTTGAATAGTATACATGTTAAAGTTTTATCATTTAAATTTCAACATTTACATTTCATTTTCAAAATTACAGACAGGCGAGACATATCTCTGTGTCAACAGTTTATGATTTTTATAGGACCCATGCAACTTGGAGGTGCGAGAAGTCTTCATATATAATAATTTTTTTTGCTGAACATCCAGTAGAATATAAATTTCTTGTAAATTCAGGCCAATTATGTTTCATTAAACTCATGCAATTAATATAAGAAATCTATTTTTGTTATAGAAAATCTAAAGAAAATTATTAATGTATTTGTGGAACCAAACATGGATCTTAAGCCTAAAGATGTAGCACAAAAAAGTGGAATTGGAAAAACTGCAAAAGATGTCAACAAATCTTTATATCTACTGGATAAGAAAAAGGTGCTTACACTTGAAAAAAATGCTGATGGCACAGACCCTAGATGGAACAGAGGCACATTAACTCAGTACAGTGGTGAGTAACTTCACTTCATTAATATGAGTTCTGCTGCAGGCATGGCAAGTTGACTTTCAGTCCTGTGTTCAAGTAAATGTATTTTGTAAACTCGATGATAGTTTCAGGATTTAAAAGGGGGACAGAGGTGCCCAGCGAAAATGGGGATGGGAATGAAAAACCTGTAAAATTCCCTTAATTTGTGGTTAAAAGAGAAGGATGGGGTTAGGTCCAGTCTCCAGGATCTGCGCCTGAATTTCTACTGCTGCAGGTTGACTTTTAGTATCCAATAAGTACACCATCAGTAGTCAAAATATAAACTCTGGTATAATACTTCAAATTTAAAAAAAAAGTTAAATATATGTTTTATATGCTTGAATTGCTAAGTGTTACTATATAACAAGTGTACGTGGACTTTCTTATCCTTTTTCTTTTTATAAATGTACTGCTGTTGAATTATTGTCTTCTGTTACTCCAATTTGCTGATTTTTCCGTATGCAGTGACCTTAACTATGAATCCTCTCGTTAGAACTTCGGCCACCATACAGCACAAGTGCAAGGGGAAAATCATGATGAAAGAATGTGAACAAACATGCACTGGAAGGTAAACTGGAATAACTGATTCTTCAAGAACAAATTAAATACACAAAATCATTGAACAACTGGTATGAAAAAGTTTAATTAACAAACGGTAATGCATGGAAAATATATATAAGAAAAGTTAACATTGTTCTATCATGTCTATCAATTCACTTATTTTTCACGTACTCCAGGATTCTGTTTTGATCGTTTATCAATGTCACAATCTGGTAAATTTCGGCAACAATCTCAGAAGTTGATTAACTTGTGATCAACAATCACTGAATAAAATATTATATAATACCGTATAGATTTGTAACAACTGTAAAATAAAAACATACATAGAGGACGTATTTTAGTATATACGCATGCATTGGTTCAATAATTTCCTGAACTTTAAAATTGAAAGAATCATGATTCATATGACTTTAAATGATTTATTTTTTAATGAATTTTGGAATTATTATGATTATCGGAAAATTAGGATGTAAATTCCTGAACTATTTCTTACAAAGCTTACCTCAGGGAGATTAAGTTCATTTGGTTCTAAATCCACCTGATGAATGCTATTCCAGAAATATCATTGCATAGAAATTAGTAATGTATACTAAATAAAGATGTGAGTATTTTTGTCAGGAAATAATCAACTTTTTAAATATTTTTTTTTAACATACTTATAATTTTCAGGTATTTTCATTAAACAACTTATATAATGAATTTTAAAATGTTACGATAACATCCAATATCCTACCAGCCTCACTTTCAATCAGCGGGGATAAACTTGTCAGATAATGGACATTACTGTTAAATTTTGTAAATTTTAATTATGTGAATTAGAAAATTAAATATTATACAATTACTCTCTTTTGATGAGGTGTATATGTTGTTTTATTGACTTTTGAAAAACTACATATTTACCGAAACAAAAGACAGTATTTGTTTTATTCCATATTCCGAGAGAGTATCGAGAGAATTATATGTAATGACAATTATTTACCAAAACCAAATGTACATTAAACGATTTTAACATATTAATTATACACATAAAAGCACGCGACGTTTTTCGCGGTGAAAATACTTTTTTCGCAGGTGTATATGCTTTTTTATACAAAAATCAAATTCATATAGAAAAACCTACTAAAGTTCTTTCAATATGGAATAACAGCATTTATTCAAATTTGGATTTTATTTGTTTTTACCTTTAATGTATGTTTATGCATTTTTATTTCTATATATTTATACATATATATAAATGCTAAATTGTTTTTTTTTAGAGAAAGAGCTACTTGAATGGGCTGCAGAAATTGTGCATGCGAGTACAACAACAACCGTGGCTCCAACTCAAGGTGAGTAAATTCTTCAATTTATGTGCTATATTCCTTCAAAAGATGCTGCTGTGTTGTAGTGAAGATGGAAAGATTGACAAAACATCTGTATCAAGACATGTTTTTGTTTGCATTTAACATGTTCATGATGTTTGGTTTACATAGTATCATTTGTACAAGAGGGGAGGGGGAAGGATTTTCCCATTAAAAGGTATACACAAATATACACCTTATCTCTATTTGTCCTTCATTACTGGTTCCTGTAAAATTTTGACATCACAATAGAAGATGTCTGACGCCACAAAGGAAATGTAATTGTTGTTTGCCGTCAATAGTTCAAGTGTCGCAGATTCTCTGGTCAAGTGTCGCAGATTCCCAAATAGTGATAAGGTCTATTGTTTAAAATGGATGAATATATAGTTCTCACTATATGTCATTCATAAAGGAAATTCTATAGTAAACCACCATCTTTTAAGTTAAGTTATTTGTAAACAGGTGAAATTCATTTATTGATTCTATCTTGATATAAAAGCAATGGTCTGCCAAATGACCTAGCTACTAACAGTTATGTGGAATAAAAAGCAAAACTCCAATAATTGTTTACCATTTATTTAATGCTGGTAATCCTGGTAGCTGCAAATATTTGACACGAAAAAGCTGTTTCAATTATCAAATGAATTGTTCGACTGGAAAAGAAACATACATGTATATAATGTGAAGTTTTAGTAAAGTGTATGCGAGTTGGTTCTAGATGCAATGTTACACATTGTTTTCATGTATCCTGCCCAAAGTCGTTTCAACGCAAGTCGATCGGGTCTTTAAAAATTTTCAAAAATATTTCAAGGGATAAAAATTAAATATAACTGACTAGGTGTTCATGAATATTAATGAATTTTATAAATAATAACTAAGGTTGATGATAAAAAATTGTACCTTTGACGCATATTGAAATATATGATTTATAAAAGACATTTATTCGAATACATTTAAAAAAAAATTCATATAGATATTTCATATTGAAATATATTTTTTCGAAAGTTAAATATTTATATTCAAAACAATTTATCACCTTAAATGAGTATGAACTATAATGTAGTATAAAGTATTTATGTTGATTATGATTTTATTAGAAGTTATCAAGACTATTGTGTATGCGTAAATATACAATTCAAAGACACATAATACAGAAGTACGTACCATTAAAACACTAATCAACAATAATCAGCAATTTTTCCAATGACTGATTTTTACAAGTCTTTCGTCTGTCTGTCTTTACCATATCTGGTTATCGTTTTAGTTTAAAATAGGTCAGTTTGGGTTTAAGGTGGTTGAAGTCATAAAGTTGTGCTGAAATCAACTTGAAATTTAGTACACATGTTCATTGGGATGTGAACATTTAAAAATTAATGTCAAGTTCTGGTATTCAATCAGACTGCAGAGACCATTGAACAAAGAAATATGACAGTTCTAGAATAGCATTAATTGTGTCCTATAGACACATTCAATTAGGGAGATTCATGGGACTCTTGACTATTTTAGGCCTATTGTAGCATGACAACACATTGAAATTTCTACTTCTCTGGGATCCTTTACCAAGACGCTTTTAAACATAGGACAGTTTGTAATCAAGTGTAAGTTGACCATACTTTAAATTTTTATTTGAAAGTTTTGAGGTAAGTTACTAATTGTATTTTAATTTTTTTTTTAAAGTTTTTAGCACCTTGTCAATCTGCTCTTCTTAGACCCTTAACATTATATGTATTCCTTTTTCAATTTGTTTTTCATGATGTGAATTTGATCATAGAGGGGTGGAAGGACCTTTTTATGCCCCCGCCGTAGCGGAGGGAGCATTAAGTTTTACCCTTGTCCGTCCGTACGTACGTACGTACCCAAAAGTTGGTTTTCGTTCTCTAACTTTAGTTTGCCTCAACCAAATGTTATGAAACTTTTACAAAATTCTTATTACCACAAAACACAGATCAAGTTTGAATTTTGGTGGCGTCACTTTAACCGTTCTAGAGTTATGCCCCTTTACAAATTTGAAAAATTGCAGAATTTTCCGTTTCTGTTCTCTAACTTTAGCTTGCCTCTACCAAATGTTATGAAACTTATACACAATGCTTATTAACACAAAATACAGATCGGGGTTGAATTTTGGTGGTGTCACTTTTACTGTTCTAGAGTTATGCCCCTTTACAAATGGAAAAATTGCTGAATTTTTAGTTTCTGTTCTCTAACTTAAGTTTGCCTCAACCAGTCAAGGATATAACTCTATAGGGTTATTAGAGAAATATAACATACATTTGGTATTGTGGACTAAAAAATCAAAGACCTGTGATAACATATGTATGTTACATGTTTCAAAGGGACAATATACATCATTAGTTTTGTTAAAATGTATACAAGTTTTATTGATATATTATTGTTGTCTTTATGTATTCTTAACTATAGAAAGATATAGCAGTTCATATTTTGCCAATCATGCATAGTACACCTATGTTATTACAGAAAAAATTTGCTTGTAATAACTAAAGGGTGTTATTACAGCTTCTCTTTATCACTCCAAAGCATTTGCTTAGACATACATCATGTTTAATTACAATATATTTTAATTCATTGTAAGAAATAATGATCAGAGCATGTAATGAGGTTCTGCGCAAGCTTCCGAGTAATTCCCAAGTGCCTCATATAATAAGTTGCATGCCTTTAAAATCTAAGCCTTATTATTACAGCTAAGATTATCACTTAAAAGCCTCGTCTCATTGATTTACCATGGTTGATGATAAATGTATTAATTCAATTCAAAAATTAGTTATCAAGGCTATGCATTTAGTTTCTGCACAAAGTTTCAAGAGTTCCCTAGAGTCCACTAAAAATTAAAATGTTGATGATTTATTTTACTAATAACAAACATATGTTATTACAGATTTAGAAAATTTAAGGATTAAAGAGTAGACAACTCATAAAAATATCTGTAATAACACATGTAAGATATTTTCTGTAATAACCCTATAGAGTTATATCCCTGACTGTCAACCAAATGTTATGAAACTTATACATAAAACTTATTACCACAAAACTAAGATCAAGTACAAATTTGGGTAGCATCACTTTTACCATTCTTCAGTTATGTCCCTATATAAATTTATATGATATGCAAGTGGGGGCATCATCTGTGTCGCGTGGACACATTCCCCATTTATTTGAGATTATTTTTGCGGTAATTCAGGATTGGCATTTTTTTCGTGGGAATTTGGGATTTACCCATATTGGGACTCAGGAATTCATGGTTAATTTTTTTTAAAACCGGGAAAGAATACTCTTTTTTACTGGAACTCAGAATGAAACCACCTCTTACCACCCCTCATCATTCTATACCACCAATCTGATATGACAGATTTTGAATGAGAAACGGGTCTTCTTTGACAAATTTTGGTCTATTAAGGCATTATAAAACATTTTGAAAACTAGTTTGAGACTTTTTGCATTTTTGTAACCATTTTTATTGACTTTGTAAGATTATAAGAGCTGTAGAATATATGTTGTTAATTATAATATATATGTTTTTCTTTTCTGTTCTGTATTTGTAGTACACCACCATCATAACCACCAACATGAACATAATGCTTTCTTCCAAGTTGGAAACGACAATGTTATAGGTAATTATGAGATTTAAGTACTAAGGAAGTCAATTTAGACTATGTCACATACAGTCTAACCTTGTTGTGTCGAAGTCGACTCATCCGAGGTTCAACTCATCCGAGGTCGAGTGTGTCGTCATAAATTTGGAATGCATGAAATACGGTATGATATTTGTGTAAACTAGATACAATGAACAGTGTGCCTTTTTTCGACATGACACTTTATGATTGTGTATTCAATCTCCATTTTGGTCCTTTGTAATAATTAAACACACAAGTACAGATACAAATCATGCACAAATAAAATCAATAGTCTACACAAATATTTACAAAGGTCAGTCACTATAAATTATGAAATCCCTCGCGGCACGAAATAAGTTCTGAACGGTCTCTGATGAGGTCGTCTACTTTACATTAAATTATCATGAATTTATTGTAATTGTAATTAATGTGTTTTAAATCTAACGTTTCATTTAATCTCGGTTTGGGTCATTTAAATTCATTTCGTTTTTATCTCAGGTGAAAAATGTTCAACACACTAACATTCCGCTTGAGTGATCAACAAAGGTGTTAACTAGCAGTCTTCATAAACATGTTAATTTAACTGTTATACAAACAAGTATGTTTACTCAGCTTTAATCTCTTTTGAAAATGATTAGGTGACATAAGAAATACATCTGATATGAATTTTTATAAGACCGCAAAAATTATAAATTTTTTGGTCGTATATTGGTATGACGTTGGCGTCGTCGTCGTCGTCGTCGTCGTCCGAAGACACATTGGTTTTCGCACTCTAACTTTAGTTTAAGTGAATGGATCTCCATGAAATTTTACCATAAGGTTCAATACCACAAAAGGAAGGTTGGGATTGATTTTGGGGGTTATGGTACCAACAGTTAAGGAATTGGGGGCCAAAAAGGGGCCAAAAATAAGCATTTTGTAACTTTCAGACAATAACTTGTGTGTAAGTGTATGGATCTCTCTGACATTGTACCACAAGGTTCCATATCACAAAGGGAAGGCTGTAATTGATTTTGGGGTCTATTGCCTCAAAATTTTAGGAATAAGGGGCCAAAAAAGGGGCAAAAAACAAGCATTTTTCTAGTTTCATGACAATAACTTGTGTGTAAGTGTTTGGATATTTCTGAAATTGTACTACAAGGTTTCATATCACAAAGGGAAAGCTGGAATTGAGTTCGGGGGTAATTGCCTGAAACGTTTAGGAATTGGGGGCCAAAAAGGGGCCAAAAATAAGCATTTTTCTAGTTTCAAGACAATAACTTGTGTTCAAGTGTATGGATCTCTCTGAAATTGTACTGCAAGGTACCATACCACAAAGGGAAGGCTGGTATTGAGTTTGGGGGTGATGAATCATAAGGGGGTTCAAAAAATTTGGGGGGGGGGGATTTTTTTTTTTTTCTTTTTTTTTCTTTTTTTCCTTTTTTTTTTCTTTTAAAATTTTCCATTTTAAGTTGGTTATTTCTGATTTATATTTAAAAGCAAATAATAATGATATTGTAGGAGATACACACCAAACAGGATGTGTAAATTTTTATATAATAAGTATTGTGCAATAGCAAGAAATTTTCAATTGCACAGTATTGCACAATAGCAAGAAATCTTCAATTGCACAGTATTGCGCAATAGCAAGAAATCTTCAATTGCACAGTATTGTGCAATAGCAAGAAATATCCAATAGCACAATATTGCGCAATAGCAAGAAATTGTCAATTGTACAGTATTGCGCAATAGCAAGAAATATTCAATTGCACAGTATTGTGCAAAAGAAGATACTTCTTATAAATTGCTTATTTCTTGATCAATTTCAATGGGGTTTTATTCTTGAATTCTTGGGGTTCATTAATATGCTGAATATAACCGTGTATTAAGTTTTTGGATTTTGGGCCCCGTTTTTAAATTGGTCCACATTGAGGTCCAAAGGGTCCAAAATTTAACTTTGTTTGATTTCATCAAAAATTGAATTATTGGGGTTCTTTGATATGCCGAATCTAACCGTGTATTTAGATTCTTAATTTTTGGTTCCGTTTTCAAATTGGAGTACATTAAGGTCCAAAGGGTCCAAAATTAAACTTAGTTTGATTTTAACAAAAATTGAATTCTTGGGGTTCTTTGATATGCTGAATCTAAACATGTATTTAGATTTTTGATTATGGGCCCAGTTTTCAAGTTGGTCCAAATCGGGGTACAAAATTAAACTTTGTTTGATTTCAACAAAAATTGAATATATGGGGTTCTTTGATATGCTGAATCTAACCATGTACAATTTAAAATTTTTAAGTTCTTAGACCACATTCATTCTGTGTCAGAAACCTATGCTGTGTCAAATATTTAATCACAATCCAAATTCAGAGCTGTATCAAGCTTGAATGTTGTGTCCATACTTGCCCCAACTGTTCAGGGTTCGACCTCTGCGGTTGTATCAAGCTGCGCCCTGCGGAGCATTTTATTACCATTAGGCCTGTATCTTTCGAAAATTCTTACTTTCGAACTTTGAGACATCAGGGTCAATTTACATTAATTTTACTTCGACGGGACTATAAAATTTACTCGACTTAACCGAGTATTGGAATCAACCGAGTTCGACTCATCAGAGGTAATTATGCATTGATCAAACGGGAATTTTACCGGGACCGAGAAATTACTTCGACTCATCCGAGTTTTCGACACAACCGAGTTCGACACAACGAGGTTCGACTGTATTTCCTTTTAGATAATGGTACATTTGACATGTCGTAACTATGTTGACTTGCTGAAATCCATAAAGGAGTAGGGTCGGTAAGACCCCTTTTTGGCCCCAAAATAAAGCACTTCAAAAATTTATTAAAATTGTACACTTAGCTATTTATTGGAAAGAAGAATACTTTTGTTACATAAATACGGGCTGTTTTTGACAATACAATGCACATGCATCAGGTACTAGCATCATAAATTCATGCAAAATTACTGAAATCTTCACAATTTTATCATTTATGCTTATTATTAGAGGTTTTGGTCTAAATTGGAAGTGGCCGCACTTGTGTTTAGTCTTAACATTTAAGTATATTTTGTATTTGTGGTTGATACATAACATAGATAAAGGTTGAGACTGAACACGAATGTGGCCACTTCCATTTTAGACAAAAACTATCTGAAAAGTGACGTTTTGTGGCATATTTGATAGATTTTTATACGACCGCAAACAAATTTTGTGGTCGTATATTGGTATGACGTTGGCGTCGTCGTCGTCATCGTCCTCCGAAGACACATAGGTTTTCGCACTCTAACTTTAGTTTAAGTGAATGGATCTCTAGGAAATTTTACCATCAGGTTCAATACCACAAAAGGAAGGTGGGGATTGATTTTAGGGGTTATGGTACCAACAGTTAAGGAATTAGGGGCCAAAAAGGGGCCAAAAATAAGCATTTTTGTAACTTCCAGACATAACTTGTGTGTTAGTGTATGGATCTCTCTGACATTGTACCACAAGGTTCCATATCACAAAGGGAATGCTGGGATTGATTTTGGGGGTAATTGCCTCCAAATTTTAGGAATTATAGGAGCCAAAAAAGGGAAAAAAACAAGCATTTTTCTAGTTTCATGACAATAACTTGTGTGTAAGTGTATGGATCTCTCTGAAATAGTACCACAAGGTTCCATATCACAAAGGGAATGCTGGGATTGATTTTGGGGGTAATTGCCTCCAAATTTTAGGAATAAGGGCCAAAAAAGGGGCAAAAAACAAGCAGTTTTCTAGTTTCATGACAATAACTTGTGTGTAATTGTATAGATCTCTCTGAAATTGTACTGCAAGGTACCATGCATACAACAAAGGGAAGGCAGGGGATTGATTTTTTGGGTAATTGCCTCAAAATTTTAGGAATTAGGGGCCAAAAGGGGCAAAAAAACAAGCATTTTTCTAGTTTCAGGACAATTACTTGTGTGTAAGTGTATGGATCTTTATGAAATTGTACTACAAGGTTCCATATCACAAAAGGAAAGCTTGGTTTGAGTTTGGGGGTAATTGTCCTAAACGTTTAGGAATTTGGGGCCAAAAAGGGGCCAAAAAACAAGCATTTTTCTAGTTTCCAGACAATAACTTGTGTTCAAGTGTATGGATCTCTCTGAAATTGTACTGCAAGGTACCATACCACAAAGGGAAGGCTGGGATTGAGTTTGGGGGTGATGAATCATAAGGGGGTTCAAAAAATTGGGGGGGGGGGATTTTTTTTCCTTTTTTTTCTTTAAAATTTTCCATTTTAAATTGGTTATTTCTGATTTATATATAAAAGCAAATAATAATGATATGGTTTGAATAGGTAAATTAAATATTTCTTAGTTCTTAGACCACATTCATTCTGTGTCAAATATTTAATTACAATCCAAATTCAGTGCTGTATCAAGCTTGAATGTTGTGTCCATACTTGCCCCAACTGTTCAGGGTTCGACCTCTGCGTTCGTATCAAGCTGCGCCCCAGCGGAGCATTTTATTATAATTTGCGGTCGTATATTGGTATGACGTTGGCGTCGTCGTCTGAAGACGCATTGGTTTTTGCACTCTAACTTTAGTTTAAGTGAATGGATCTCTATGAAATTTTACCATAAGGTTCAATACCACAAAAGGAAGGTTGGGATTAATTTTGGGGGTTTGTACCAACAGTTAAGGAATTAGGGGCCAAAAAAGCATTTTTGTAACTTCCAGACATAACTTGTGTGTTAGTGTATGGATCTCTCTAACATTGTACTACAAGGTTCCATATCACAAAGGGAATGCTGGGATTGATTTTGGGGGTAATTGCCTCCAAATTTTAGGAATAAGGGACCAAAAAAGGGGCAAAAAACAAGCATTTTTCTAGTTTCATGACAATAACTTGTGTGTAAGTGTATGGATCTTTCTGAAATTGTACTACAATGTTCCATATCACAAAGGGAAAGCTGGAATTGAGTTTGGGGGTAATTGCCCAAAACGTTTAGGAATAAGGGGCCAAAAATAAGCATTTTTCTAGTTTCCAGACAATAAC